CGTATCTGTAACCTTCTTTACATGTTTGCAGATTTCCACTTACCATCAGATGGACTTTAACGTTCGATTGCTACTTTACTTGTCTACGAGCATTAAATCTACATAAGATATTAATTAATTATAATTATACAAGTATGATTTAGCAACGTTTTAACGTGGTAGAGCCATGCTGCAGTTATATTAGTAGTATAGTTGTAGCACGAATGGGTCGGCTCGACCGGGGAAGGACCACGCTCTCACAGAATACCAGCGTGAAATAGTAGCTTAATGCTGCTGTATTTCGTATGGTGAGTATAGAGAACCGGAGACCCTTTTTACTGGAAAAGAGGCATTCCATCTTAGTCCACACGGGTGACAACGCGTCTGCATTTTGATTTGTAATCGAGGATAGATGTAGATTTCTATGGGCCGCAGCAACCATTTACCATCAGGTGGATTTTGTGCTCGTTTGTCACCCTATCCTATAAAATAAATAAATAAATAAATAGCAAGATCTTTCACTCTCAAGTATTGCCGCCATAAATTGATAAGGGTTTTAATAAATCATGATTTTTTTACACAAAGAATATGCTATGACATAGAAGATTTGCTAGTGTTTAAACAATTAGACTATTTTTATTTCATCTATTTTCATACCATAATCTTGTGTCATTGTGTGGAATTTTGCGATGAGAAAAAGGGATTAACTCAAGACCTATTCTTATTTAGCTTAAGATGCCCAAACAAGAATAGTCACTGTCAAGAGCATTTTATAGCCTGAACCACGAAGCCTTTAGCGTAAAATTTGTTATTATATATTATAAGAGTGTAGATTTTCCCCGCTCAAGCCGATTCATTTTTTTATTCTATATGTAAAAAACGTTACCCCTACACTAGGATTTTCTCCTGTATCGTGGGGACAGTTTACAAACATAAATTGCACAAGGACAAACATCCAGACCCGGAACAATTATTTATAGGCCATACAAATACTTGTTCCGTGCGGGATTCGAACGCGCGACCCCCAGCGCAGCCACTCATTGCTAAGCCACTATGCCACGGAGTCGTCTTGTTTCTGGTATCTATTTGAAAATATTTTAGACGGTGTTCGTATTACGTACATGCTTAGATGTATTTTCTTCTATGCATAATCTTTATTTACATTTACTTTGCATCATCTCATCATCATCATCATCATCATGATTACAGCGCTATACAAGTCCACATCTGAACATAGGCCTTCCCCAAGGAACGCTACAAAACAAGGTCCTGAGCCACCTGCATCCATCGGTTTCCTACATGGCTTCCAGTTCCTCACTCCATTTAATTCGAAATGAAAATATCCGCAGTATAACCAGTATAACCGACGTTTCCCAATGGATCAAAAACCTGAAGTGGCAATGGACTGGCTATTATACCGACAGCAATCAGGAATCCGAGGAGGAAGAGTTCGCAAGTGGCAACCTCGTACAGTTAAGCGAAGTGTAGGGCGGCCCCCCACCAAACGCACTTATTTCATCTATATACTCTTATATATAAATAAAATTAACGTAATATGCCTGTAATGTCGAAATAGCTGACTTTACCATGAAAATCAATTTGTAACCTTTTTTTTTTTTGAAATGAAAACTTCTTTAGAATAGTGATTTTAAACTCGATGAAACGAAAACGATGAAACAACGACGACACTAAAAAGAGAAAAACAGATACATCTATAGCGTTTAGCCTGCGAGAGAATGAGATAGAATACAACTTAGTAAGCGACAGTAGCTGGCAGAGTGTGGACCGCTAACTCGGAAGGTAAACCCATTGAGTTATATATTACTAACGTAAGGACCGGGCCGACCGAACAACTAAAACGGACCAATGCGTTGGCCCTAAAATTACAGTTTAGGGCCAACGCGATTCGGTCGACAGAGGTGCGCGCGCAGGACAGATTTGCCTGTCACAAATATGTCTAGTTGCGTGGTAAAAGAATACAAAAATTACGATACAAAGATAAAAAAAACATGGGATTAAATTATTATAATACTTTAAAAATGATATAGAAATTATATATATATATATATATAATTTCTATATCATTTTTAAAGGGTTTTATTAGTTAGTAGTTACTAAGAGCCAGGTTGGATTCAGACCCTCAAAAATATTGTATATGGAAAATAAAATATTACTATTTTAAAAAAATTATATCACGTTTGATGTTTCATGTTTCTTTTTTCCCATGTGCCGGGATTTTGGCGTCACGCGTCTAGTTTATCTATACGTTTCGTTTTTTGACGGTTTTATTTTTATTTCTGTTTAAATTTTGTCTAAAGGACTTAGTGTAAGTTGACTTTTGAATATTGGTACCTAATATATTTTATATTCAATAAGGGTAAAACGAAAAGAGTACAAAAGAAAAGGATCGATCGAGCATCGATTGACCAGAATATACAATACAATAGAGAAACTCTCGATATCGTAAGGGTAATATTAAAATGTAAAAGAACCCTTATGTTATACATGTTGACCTTAAGGTAAAATTATGGTATTTTTGCTTAATATTATTACGACACTATGTAGTACAAACTATGAAATAATGGTACAATTAGGATAATTATACTACGAAATCCGACCCTGGTTACGCCGTGTTTTGATATGACGTTTGTATTATTATGACAGATGCGCTATTTTTTCTTGTATGAAAAAGTTATGAGTAAAATATTTAGATGGGCCTATCCTTCCTTTTGAAAGCATTGGGTAAACCACACATAATAGGTACTACATTTTCAGTTCACCAGTAGTGGATAAGGAAATATTGGTAATTTTTTAAATGAAAATTAGTATTTTAATAGCATTACTCCTTGTGAAGTGCTTTTAAAAAAATGGTTGGTATAAATTTTACTATTTCAATAAACAATATAAAAAATTGACAAATTTATGAAATAAATAAATTAACCATATTAAATAAAGTTATCATATCCAAAACATTCATAACAATCAACGATTTCGTAACTTCAGGTCATCGTCTATTTTACGTACCACTTTGAAAGTCAATTAATTTTCGTTAAATGACTTTACCTATAGCATGAAGTAGATGGCGCTATTACAAAGCCATTTTACTCGAAAGAAAATATTTTTTGTTTTATTACATAAAAATTTAGGTTCTACCTACAATTTAAGTCCTACATGGCTAAAATAAAGATTTGTAACATATTTTTAGATTATATTTTATGCCATACTTGTTTTTAATAGCAATCTTATTAAATATATCATTGGCTGTGAACAAGTTTTATTTTATATTTTATTTCATTTAAAGGTTTCACTTTTATCACGTGTTTATACATGTATAAACACTTGTTTTTCTTACTTCGAAATATTTTACAACAAAAATATGCGTGTTGAAGGCCTTTATTACAGATGTTCAATTTTTACATTAATTATTTTATCTTATAGCATATAGTTTTATAGATAATAACAATTTTTGTCATGTGAGTTAAAATGTTTTTTTTGTCTTAGTGTAGTTTTCTTTGAGACCACAGTTAGAGGTCCGCAATTTTTTTTAATTTTTTTATTGAGGATAGAAACAGCCTTACTATTTAAACAAACTTACTAACAGTAACAGTTATCCATGTAATTACATTTGATAGGGACATGTGTTAACAAACACGTCTAAAAATTTCATTCCATATCAATGACATATAATAAATTAAATTAGAATAGAAACAACATAATAAAAACATACATAACATGGTAACTTCTATACATATAGAAAGTAATATAAATTGTATATTTTAAATTAAATGTCTACTTCTGTGTATAATTATATTATACACCAACAAACAACGGAATCACAAAGTTCAATCCTTTACATAACGTTTACATATACCTAATATGTAGTTATACACGATCAGAGTGAAAAATACGGAGGACGTACCTTACTTAACCATTATTTCTCAAAGTAGTTTCTGAAATGGGAAAATTTTACTCTTAGCAATAAAGTAACCTAATCAAAATGGTTAAAGGTAATTAAGACTACGGACTATAAAGCCGTGAGTTAGAGTCTATCATTACACTACTATCCTGAACCACTACTAACGCAAGCTTCCTTGAAGTGCGTTATGAGAATATAATATATTATGTAGTATAAAAATCTATCGTATCGGTATACTATCGTTGTGTTTTTACAAGTACATAATAATCTAGTACATTTATGATCCTACCCGTTTTAAGCCGCGGCGCTTGTTTCCATCAAAGACACAAAGTACTAAATAGTAAGAGTTAGCTAAAAGCGCTGAATACTTCATAGTGATGAAGTGTACACATAAACATAGAAGCTAGATTTTTGTTCGACATCCATGTATGTTTATGTCGGAACAAGACAACTCGCACCTATGACTGCTCTCATTCCGTCGTTGTCGAAGCATCGCAATTGACAAACATACTGGTAATCAATTAGTATGTATAATCGTTGGAGTGTCTGTTAGCGATCGAGTAACTTTACCGATTGAGCTCATATTCTCAGAATAAGTATTAACTGTTTTTTCGAGATGATGGGTGGCGCTGTAGTCGAAGTTATAGATCAAAATGGCTAATATTCACGATACAAGTTGGTTGTGTAAAATAAAATAATAAATCACATTTGAACCAGTTAGCTAATACGCTAATACACACTTATTACACTCTAAAAAGTGTGGATTGAATTCGGAGTGAAACTCATCTCCACCTCTCACCTCACTCGCAGGTTAGCAAAGCAGTAGCATAGACATTACCTTAAAAAGGAGCTTAACCAACGATAACTACAATAAAGCAATTACTTACATAAAGCATATTGTTGACGTCTTTTCTCGACATATCGTCATAATGCTAATGCTAAGGAAAGATGAATTAATCTATCAAGAAAATACACACCTATTAATATTTGTGTCATCATTATAAATTACAATCAAGTGATCCTAATATTGATTTAATTTACATGAGAAGCTAATGTTTTAGAGAGAGCACGGAAAATTCTTTTGATTATTCTGTCTATAATTACATCAAAATTGTGTTTCCGCTATATATCTAAACGCAGCTGATAATGCCCCAGCAGCAACAGCAGTCAAGTGCCTGTCGCACGCCCCTCCTAACATAGAAGAATTATTAAGCGAAATGGACCACGGGTGTCCATCGTTCTTTGCATTTGTAGATGACACGAACGATTTAGGGCTGAAACATCCAAACCTCATTTGATGTTCTAGCACTTCTGCCAGCCAAGAACGACGAAGGGTGTGCGCATAGCCAGCTAACGGGCACAGGGTCACTGTTAAACAAATAAACCATTGTAAAAAGCAAATTTAGGTAAAGTAAAATATAGTTTACTTATACTACACTACTGGTTACAGGTTTGAAAGGGTTATGGAGAAAATTGTCTACGGTGCTGCTCCAGAGGACTTTACATTTCTCCAGAATTATTATCTTAATATATATAAATTACGTGTCACGTTGTTTGTCCGCGATGTACTCTTAAACTACTTAACCGATTTTGATCAAATTTGCACACCGTGTGCAGTTTGGTCCAACTTGAAAGATGGATATTTTTTCCAAGATTTTTTTGATTTTTAATGGATTTTTAATGGGACATGACAAAGGGTCGTCGAAAAGGGCAGAACAACGTCTGCCTGGTATATATATATATATATATATATATATATATATATATATATATATATATATATATTAATCCAAATCGTGAGTAAGGTGTCAGATGTAAATTGAAACAGAAGATGGGCAGCAACTTCTTCCTGATAGCAATCTATTTTAAGCCTGTAATGGACTTTTTACGATGTAATGGATAAATGTCTCCATTTATCCATGTGGTTTTCCTCAAGATGTTTTCATTGACTGCCGAGCATGTTATAGTTAACTTAACTAAGCGACAATGGACGTTATGGTGCGGCACCAGTGTGGCAAAGAAGTACTAATAGATAACGCCTGCTATGGGTGGCCAAATATGGGGTACGTGGACTTTTATGAGCTGGAAATGTAAAGGTAACCTTGCTGTGTATTGACGGCGTAAGAGAATCCCATTACCCCATTTCGGTCCATGGACGTCGTATGAGCCGACTATACAGAGAGCATGAATATCGCGGTACACAACGAGATGCGTTGTACACCAGACTCGAAATATCCAGACCAGCAACAGGGAACAGCGTCAAAGGTGCGAGATATCTCGTACTGCGTCAATCCGCAGCCAAGCATGACGATAAAGGTGAATCCGGAACAAACAAACGGAAGAGGCACATGTCCAGCAGTGGACTATTACGGGCTGATGAGGAATTAAGATGGGAATAAATTATACAAGTTGTAGGTGGCTCGGGATCGTGCTCTGTAAGTCACTCGTGATGGCCTATAATAGATAAGAGAGATAACTTATATTAATTTTTACGTGGTAGAGTCACGCTGCAGCTATATTATGGTTGTAACACGAATGGGTCGGCTCGACCGGGGCAGAACCACGCTCTCACAGAATACCAGCGTAAAATAGCAGCGTAATGCTGCTGTGTTTCGTATGCTAAGTATAGAGAACCGGAGACCCTTTTTAATGGAATCAAGGCATTCCATCTTAGTTCTCAGGAGTGACAACGCATTTGCATTTTGATTTTTAATTGAGGATAAACGTGGATGTCTATGGGCCACAGCATCCACTTACCATCAGGTTGAGCGTATGCTTGTTTATCACCCAATGCTATAAAAAAATTAAATGATGGAAAACTCACTCTGTTCTAGCATTAAATCGAGAAACTTAAATCCGTTCGCAGCGATGTAATTGGCTTCACGTACCATCCTTATGCAAAATGTGTGCATCAAATCTCTATCTTCATATGACCTATAAATATTGCAACCTCGCCCTCGCTTAGCTTGAAGTAACCAAAGTAATCTGTAACAAATAAAAATTATGTTGATCTTATATGATATCGCCTGAGTATTTATTAAAATAATTCAAATATTATATTTGTAACAAAAGTAAGTATTCATTCCCGAATTAATTACAACTATTTTTAGGTATATATATATATATATATATATATATATATACAAGCAATACGGGTGACTTGGGCACATTAATATATCCGTGATATTGGGCTTCCTTTTAATATTACTTTTTGTTGATAACTCGGAAGTTGCTGTAGTGTTCCAAAATTTTCAAGATCATCAAGGGAGTTGAATGCCACTTACGAGATATTTGACTTTGAGCTGTTAAATTACTATGCGTTTGTGGTGGGACCCCAAACGCCTAGTAACACTGGAAGATAATTAGTGAGATAATTTATAATTATTTTAGGAGCCAGTAGCTAGGCCACAGTAGGAGTTAAAAATTTAACACTGTGTTACTGTTTAGCCCTGAAAGATCGAGGAGATCAATGGAATCAAAAAGATAAACATAAAGTACAATCAACGACCAGATCTTTCAGGTTTCTCTAAAAATTTCAAACTTCACGATAAAAATTATCATCATGTACGATTCTTCTCTAGAGAGTGGGTGATTTCAAATTTTTTATGACAATGTTTTTTGCATAACGTAAACGAGCGTCATGATTACGACAAACAAGGATAAACTTTAGCCAGCATTTGACTTGTTATACGCCAATAACAAAAAAAAGTTTAACTCACCTGTGTGTTAACGCATAACCAAAATTGTCACCATTTACCAACATTATATAGCACGAATACTTAAAATTACACCTCGGTGTGTTCCAGTTACTCCTTGCCAGTGATGATAAGCACTTATCTGAATTAAAATTAAAATACATACTAAAACTGTAGGTATTGGAAGAAAAAATAATAAACATTTAGTTGAATAAAATTATGAGTAAAAAAATTACCAGCTTCCATAGGATTCGGCTTCCATTTATAAAATTCTTTTACTTTTGATGCATAATTTTCCCATTCCGGATATACACTTTTAGTATATAGAAATACGGAAATTTTTTCATCAACGAAATCGCTGATACCTCTGACCCCAAGAGTTCTATTCAAAAATAAAGTTGATACTAAAATGAAAGAGAAAATTAGGATGATGACTCGCCAGGTCTATTTATTTTAGTTTAAAGTTTACCCTACACTAGGAATTTCTCTCATCGAGACGTCTAATATATGTAGATACATAAATAGCACATATAAAAATTTTAGACCCTGAACAATTCTTTGTAAATCATACAAATATTTGCTACGCACGGGATCCGAACCACATGCCGACTGCAGTCAAACAGTTTAGTGAGGAGATTATCAAAAAGAGTAAAATACAGTAAAAAATCCAGTTAGAGTCTGTATACGTCCCAGCAAAGAGCTCCTCCCATTTCTGAACACTTGTTAAATCAGCAAAATAACAATTGGCAATGTCATTGGTTCCGGCAGGGTTTGAACCCGGGCTGCTCACTGCGAAATTTACGACAACGTATAGCCCGAGTTACCTCGGATAAACGAATAAGTAAGAATAAAGGTATTATTAGAAAGAAGATTAGTTATTAAAAATAATACACGATTTCTATAAAAACATTTTTATAATTTAATGTAAAATATTTTTCGTACCATGTTTTATGCAAATAAATATATTATTATTATATTGACACGAAAACTAATTTTACAAATTCAACACGTTTAATTTAACTTACTTTTACTCATTTTAATTCCCGATATTTCGGGTGCTTTACAACACCCATAGTCGGGGGTCTAAGGTGTTTGACGTCCCTATGTCATAGTTAACCAAAATTAAAATAAAAACATACTTACTTAATCTGTCCTGTTCATTCTTTTCATTCTTATCTCGTTTGACCATTGATTTAAAATACGTAATTAAATCTCTATTTTTCTTTAAGAAATCTTTTAAAAATTGCTTTAAGCCTTTTGATAGTCTGTGTTGTTTAGTAATTTGTACATGTTTTAAATTATCTGTAATTAAAAATACCTTGTGTATGTAAAAATATTATTTCTTAGACGATAAAAATTAAATATAATATTTTTTTTACCATACATTACTGATAAGCCAAATGCAAAATTCAAATCAATCTCATTCTTATTTCTGAGAGCAAACTTCAGTATTTTTTTTAGAGAACTTGCATATGACACAATATCATTTTTTATAGGCAGATCTTCTTCATCTTCTCTAGCTGCAACGTTTTCATAAATTATGTTTCTACTAAAACTTTCACCGCTATTTTCACCAACAAGAATCACAACTGCAATAAAACAAATCCCGATGCGTAAACTACGTAACAACATCATAGTTGCAAAGTTTAATAAAAATAAATTCGTCACTCCAGCAACCACGCATCCACTTCAAGATTTAAATAAAACTGGAGATCGGTCGTAAGATACTAGCCTTTTTATGTACTACTGCGAATACGATGAGGTAATAATTATTATTATAGGTATGTACAAAAACGTGGCGGTAACAATACAATTATGATAAACCGTTATTATATGTTATTAGATGTTATTGTTCAAAATTCAAACACTTAAGAATCTACGAATATTTCTAATAATACTTTACGTATCTTTTTTAATTGTTATAATCATTACTAATTTGCGACCTTTCCTTCTTAACTTGGGAATGACCTACGTCAAGCAGTGGTTTATTTATAGTCTAATGGATATGAGTGTGTAGTGGGTCGAAATGTGACCGTAATTCACGAAATTTTTGAGTTTGCATATTAGGCAAGTTGTGTCACACTTTCAACTGCACATGAATATGAGACATAGATCGACAGATCGATCTTCAGGCAAGAAGCAGACCTGTCATCTAGAACAAGATGCAAGGAAATACCGCACATCATCTGAATCTGCTGACTTGTATCGCTACATTCCCCGCACACCTGGGAAATCGTAGTTAGGTGGGGAATATAAGATTTAGATTTCACCAGACAGAGGTCAGAAGTTCCCAAAAGACATCAGGAAGACCCTCCCTTTGAGAACTTCTTCACGATTGCCGCGGCACTGAAGCACAGTAACACCGATGTCCTACCGTAAACAGTTGGGGTTTAATTAATAATCCAGACACTCATGAAAGGCTGACTCCACCTTGCCGGCTGGCGACTGGAAAAAGGGTCTGGTGGCAATTTCCACAGGGGTTCAGGTGTCGCCGCAGTCTTCATGCCAGGTACTATCTATGCTATGACTCTGCGTCCCTAGGTTACGTATGTGACGTCTCGTCCAACTTCTCTTAACCTATTTTCTCTACCGCACGATGGACGAAAAAAGGAAAACCAAGAGTTACTTTTTTACAGCGGTTGCCCTTCCGCTCCATCAAAGTATATACCTCACAAACCGAGGTCTGCAGTGTAATCTCAGTGCAATCCACTACCACCTTGAGACTGACAAGCCGCACCTCCTCCTATTTACTGAGACGCAGATCAGATGTCATCTTGATGTGGCGTACCTTAGCTACCCTGGGTAAACATTAGAGCATAATTTCTATTAGCACTCGGGAGTTTGTGCCCGTCACTTTAAATATTCCACTTTCTCCTAAGTATTGATACAAACCGAAATGTATAAAATTATTTATTCTTGTGTCTACCCTACTAATCGCACAGCGGTAACCAGAAGACAACTAGGCTATTTGAAAATCTCAGTGAGGCCTCTGATATGGCCCCAAATCGGTACCTTACTACACAGTTGATTTTTCTGGAGCACTTTAACGCCTTTTGTCAGGGCTGGCTCCTTTATACCAGAAGAACGACTACATTGGGAGAGAGACGTAGAATTTTGCGTTGCCACTGGGGCTCTTCCAACCGGTTAAACAAGCAACTAAGGTACCATATATGGATAGATCACAGCCAACTACCTCGACCTTCAGTTACCTCCAGCTTGGAAACTTCTGACCACTGTCCGACGAAATCCATGGCATTATTTTTTTTATAGAAGAGGGGGCAAACGAGCATGCGGCTCACCTGATGTTAAGTGACTACCGCCGCCCATGATCAACCGCAACACCAGGGGAATTTCAGGTGCGTTGCCGGCCCTTTAGAAAGGAGTAGGCTCTTTTCTTGAAGGTCCCCAGATCGTATCGGTCTGAAAAAATCGCCGGTGGTAAACTATTCCACAGATAGGTTGTACGCGGAAGAAAACTCCTTTTGAAACGTACTGTGGTGGACCGCCAAGCATCCAGATGGTGTGGATGATATCGGGACGTTTGCCGCGTAGTGCGTTCACGAAATTTGGCGGCTGGGATTAATCCGAACAATTCCTCAGAGCACTCTCCATGGTATATGCGAAATAAAATGCGAAGAGATGCAACATCTCTTCGAAGTGCCAGTGAATCGAGTCGATCGGAAAGCTCTCGGTCGTCGACGATTCGAGCCGCTCTGTGCTGGATGCGGTCAAGTGGAAGGAGCTGGTACTGGGGAGCCCCAGCCCAAAGATGGGAACAGTATTCCATGTGCGGCCGAACCTGCGCCTTGTAAAGTTGCAGGCGGTGTGCCGGCATGAAATACTGTCCTGCTCTGCTGAGCACGGCAGGCTTTTTAGAGCCCAATTTGGCCTTCTCTTCCAAGTGACCACGAAACTGCACGTCACTCGATATGTCAACGCCGAGGATTCCGATACTGGCTGAGGCAACAAGGGGAGTGCCTTAAAACTGAGGAGATACAACAAAGGGGTTCTTTTTAGCGGTTAACGCGCAAACTTGTGTCTTCTACGGGTTAAACTGGACTAGATTTAGTCGCCCCCAATCCGAGACTCTGTTCAGCAAAGACTCGACTTCAGACATAAGTTTGTCCCGGCACTCGGAGACGTTTTCCCGAGAAATATTGGCTCGGCTGGTGTAAAGAGCATCACCAGTGCTGTCATCTGCATAGCAATGAATGTTACGGGTTTGCAACATATCATTGATATGCAGAAGAAACAGCGTTGGCGATAGCACGCAGCCTTGTGGAACACCAGCACTAATAGACTTGCAATCGGAGCTTGCACCGTCTACGACGACCTTGATGCTCCGATCTGCAAGAAAGCTGGTGATCCAATCGCACAATTTCTCGGGAAGCCCATAGGAAGGGAGCTTCGAAAGAAGCGCTTTGTGCCAAACCCCATCGAAGGCCTTCGCAATGTCCAAACTAACGGCCAATGCCTCCCCCTTGGACACTACTGCCTCCGCCCATCTATGAGTTAGGTAGACCAGAAGATCACCAGCTGACCGACCACGGCGAAAACCGTATTGGCGGTCACTTATCAGCTGGTGTTCCTCAAGGTACCTCATGAGCTGGCAGTTTACAATAGACTCCATTGTTTTGGAGAACAAGGAGGTGATGGCGATAGGCCGGTAGTTGGACGGGTCTGAGCGGTCGCCTTTTTTAGGGATCGGGTAGACGAAAGCCATCTTCCATGATTTTGAAACTACGCCTAGGGAGTAGGAGTACCGGAAAAGACGCGTTAAAACCGGTGCCAACTCTGGAGCATACGTCCTCAGCACAATTGGGGGGATTCCGTCAGGCCCACTCGACTTGTGGATGTCCAGGGAGAGGAGTGCTTTGCGAACCGAGCGCTGTGTGAACTGCACTTCCGGCATGGAGCACTCACACCGCGGGATGATCGGCGGCGTACTCCCCCCGTCATCGAGAGTCGAGTTGGACGCAACGAAAGAGCCTAGAAGATCGGCTTTCTCCTTTGCGGTATGGGCCAGTGAGTCGTCCTCCCTATGCAGAGATGGAAGAGATGGCTGACAGCAATTCCCCTGGACAGCCTTGGCGAGAGACCAGAATGCACGGTTTCCATAAGGAAGGCGAACTAGTTTTTCGCCAATTCTGCTTATGTGCTCTGACTTTGCCTTAGCAATGACTCTTTTGAAGAACCTAGAGGCGGAATCATACTTCTTTTTTATAGCGCTGGTGTTTACGTCCCGGGACGCTGATGCGTCAGCCCAGGCTCGGTAGCACTCCTGCTTATAAGCATGATGCTATTTTACAGGAGCGACCAAACCGTGGCTGAGATTTGCCTCCAATGGGCACCACAGAGAAAGGAATAAAAAGTTCCATACCCTGAAGTACCATATCAGCGACAGAATCCGCAACAACGTTGGGATCGTCCGGCGTGAAGCAAACCCGCCCCCAAGGGCAGGATGCAAAGAAAGACCGCATCCCATCCCAATCGGTTGACCTATAGTGCCAAACACGGCGGCAGCCTGCAGAATGCGACTGCGATTTCAGCGTGAGTGGCACCACACTCCGGACAAGACAATGAGGAGCCTAAAGGGGCTTCGATGGAAATCTGATATCCGTCCGGGTGAGAGGTCAGCAGAAGGTCCAACAGGGAAGGTGCATGATCTTCCATATCTGGAATCCTCGTAGGCGAAGTAACCAGTTGTGTCATACCATATGCCAAGGCAAAATCATGAACAGATCTCCCCGCATGATCGGTTAAACGTGAACCAAGCCATTCGGCGTGATGGGCGTTAAAGTTGCCGAGGATCACGATCTCTGCGGAGGGGATCTGCTGTAGCAACGAATCGTGGTCGAAGAGTCGGTCTGTTTCGGCATTACCGCTATGGGACCTATAGAGGTACCCGTAGACGCGCGGATGGTCGTCGCTGTCTACGCGTAGCCAAAGGATGGACAGGTCCGAACCTTCAAGTCTGCCGAGGCGTCGAGAACAGATGTCCTCTCTGACGTAAACGAAAACTCCAGCCCGAGGCACAAAGGAGTGTTCCAGTTTGTACCCCGGGTAGGAGAGATACGAGATATCAGCCGGAGAGGACACCTGCGTCTCGGTCAGGAAGAGCAGAGCCGGCCTCGCCGTCTCGAGATGGTAGTGGACGGCGTTTAGGTTAGAGTGAAAACCCCTGATATTGCAGAAATTCACGGACAGCGTGGCAGGGGTCGCCTTGGTCTTGTTGCTCCGTTTGCCCCGAGCAGTTGTAGTCTTGAGCGGAATTTTGCCCCCCCCCGAAATACGCGGGGCAGCCTGAGCACCCACGCTCAGAAGCTGAGAAACATGGTCATGGATGCTCAGCGAGGGATTCTCCAGGGGTGCTGGTACCCTCCTGGGGTAGTCTATCATTATTTAATTCCGCTACCATGTTGATGGGGGGGGGGATTTGGGCCTCCGGCCACCTGCACTCACCAGACGAAACGCGGAAGCAGCGCTTCCACTTCACGCCGGTATTCTGTGAGGTCGTGGTACCACCCCAGTTTGAGCCACCCCATACGTGCAACAGCAAAGCTGCCGCGTGGCTCTACCACTGTTATTATATTAACCTAACTAACCTAACCACGATTTTCCAGATTTGTGTGGAA